TTCGTTACGTGCGCCATCGAAGACTAGGGGAACTATGCTGTATGTGGGCGCCACCTAGTGTCCGCACAGAGCAATTCTTCCGTGAATAGGCCCTCTCAGGGTTTCAGGACTGGCTCTCTCATGGTCAGCTTTCGCGTTGTGGGGCATGTTACTGGGAAGACCATGAACGAAGAGACTTTGTCGCCCCAGAGATCTGCGTTTGGACTTTAGCTCTGCCACTGACCAAGTGATCTGGGTTCTCCTTCTCTTATCCTCCACTTATCTTTAGCTCTAAAATAAAAATGATACCTCTCAGAGCGGTGGTGAGGATGTTGGAAAATGCTTTGTAACAAACTGGGAATAATTGGGGGGAATGGAAGGTAGCATTGTCTGCAGTTGACCAGCCTTGGTTTCATTTTAAAAAATACTTAATGTGCACCTGCTGTGTGTCAGGCACTGTTCTGGATGTGGGAACGTAGCAACAAATAAAACAGACAAAATTTATGTTTTCGTGTTGTTAATATTCCAGCATTCCAGTTTTTGAGTCGTTCATTCATTCATTTACAAATATGTTTCTGGCAGTCCTGTGTGCAGCACTTTCCTAAGCAATGGGCACAGAGGGTATCTAATATGGCTGGGACCCAGGAAGCCAGGGGAATGGGATGGAGCAAGTCCAGAGTTGTGGGGCCTGAAGCTTATACGATTTAGGATATCAATCATATACCCTAAGAGAAAGAATGCAAAGTCAGAAGTACAGAATTAGGCTAGAAAGGGATTTTTTAAGAATGAGAGATGAAATAAACTTTAGCTGGCATAAAAACACAAAACATAAAATCTAGAAACACAGCATAATATTTTTGCATGATATGCCTCTATAATGATTTTTCTCTATATTTTTTTCTGTATCTTCTTTGATAATCTAATCTTGACAGTTTTGTGGTTTTATTTTCTTCAAAGAGACTGTGGAAATAATTCAGTCTCCCCTCTACAAGATTAATTTTTTGTGTGTGGATACTTTAAACAATTTTCTTTATGTCGTAAAAATGCCCTGTATGTTTTTAGGATTATTGTCAAGTTTGAGAAAACCTCTATGTTCCTTTTATATATGAGCTGTAAGCCTTCTTGTAAAGTGACTAATTTTAAATATTATTTGAGTTGACAGTATCTTAGCCAATTTATTGTTGCTGTCCCTATCATAGCAGTGTATTAGAAGTTCTATATTTTCTTCCTATATGTCAGTATTTCATGTTAAACAATTGAGAAATTAAAACTTTCCCAATGTCTTTATATGATTCACTCCTTTTAATTACTTAGACTATCAAACAATCTAAGTCTATTGATTACTTTCATTGCCAGAAAAGGGGGTCTTGATTCAGACCCCAAGAGAGGTTTCTTGGATCTCGTACAGGAAGGAATTCAAGGTCACTCGCAGAAGGCACTGAGAAGAAGCAGTTTTAGTGAAAGCAACTCAGTTACAGAGTAGGGCGCCCTCAGAAAGCAAGAAGAGAAATAGCTCATCTTTAGGTTTTTCTTATAGAGGGAACTTATCTATGCAAAAACTGAGCTATGTCTACATACAGGTGGGCTGACCACATGACAAAATTTAGTACTTTGTTGATTTAAAGAAAATTATCCTTGGCATTTTAGTGTATATATCCATCAAAATGACTACAATCAAAAATGTCCATCAAGATGACGATCACAATCTTGGAAGCACATACTGTTATGGATACCGGGACATCTGGACTTCTGTTCTTGTAGGAGTGTGACCTTGCAGGGGCCTTTAAGTTGTTTTCTCAACTGTAAACGTCTTATGAACATGGGTCATGACTGGCAAGGAATGGGTCTTGCTGGTTTTATGATGGAGTTGATTTTAAAATGGTGTCACCCTGGCTCTCCTACGCTCCTGTTTCCCTGGCACTTTGATTTGAAATGTATCTATTCCTCTTAATGAATCAGTACTTTTGTTATGATCTGCAGGCTAGTTCATCTGTAAGCACTTGACATCGCTAAGGCAGAGATGGCCAAAGAAGTCATGAGCCAATTCATAGGATTATAAACTTGCAACTTCTCACATGGAGGTACTAGCTGTTTACAGTACTACTGCATGCTTGTGCTCTATGAACACAAGACTCTGATATCTTCTAGTTTGTGCAATTCCTATTGGAAAAGAAAAAAAAAGTGCGGTGCATTTATAATTTGCATATATTGTATTGTCAGTAGATTCAAGTAGACAGGCAGACAAGAGCTTCTGCTTTAACTGGGCTTTGATGAGAATCAAATCCTCTGCTTATATGTCTGATGATTTGAAGAATTCTTGATAGACTAGCTTCTGGCTCTGTATGTTTCAAATTTTGTTTCTTACCTGATACATACGTACTCCTGATGCTATGCATGAAAACGATTTATGGCCCTGTGCCTTTGTGTCACAGTGCAGGACGAGTCAGCATGGTGGCCGTAGATGCATTCCTGGAAGCTATTCCTAACGAACATAGACAGCAATTACTTAAATATAGATCGAAGTGACTGTGGACCACATAAATAGATCCCTCTGACCCTGAATTTAATGTATATGTAACGCAGCTCTGCCTCAGCTGCATCCCTCAGCTCCTCCATTGCTACCAATGCAGTGTGACAGAGAGAGAGTTGGAGTGGGAAAAGATATCCATCTTCAAAGATGTTGATAAAATATCTTACTTTCGAAAAGCTTACAAAAACACACGCCCAAATGAAAACACTGCTATGCTTCTCCCAGGGCTTTGGAGGAGGACTTGCAAGTGACAGTCCTGAAGCTGAAGATTCCTTAGTGTTAAGGTAAATCCACCCATGTGAAATGAAGCCAGAATTACAAGTAAGGGGGAAACCATGCAGGGCCTTGCAGTTGTTAGGAGGAAGTTTGAGTTTTATTCTAAGAACAGGAAGATTTAAACGGCTTTAAAAGGAGAAGCCAGCTGATAATAAGATTTGATCTATGTTTTGAGATGGAGTCTTGCTCTGTCGCCCAGGCTGGAGGGCAGTGGCCCAGTCTCCACTCACTGCAATCTCTGCCTTCCCGGTTCAACGATTTTCCTGCCTCAACCTCCTGAGTAGCTGGGATTACAGGCACCCACCACCAAACCAGGCAAATTTTTGTATTTTTAGTGGAGACGGGGTTTCACCATGTTGGCCAAGCTGGTCTGGAACTCCTGGCCTCAGGCGATCCACCTGCCTTGGCCCCCCAAACTGCTGGGATTACAGGCGCGAGCCACCGCGCACGGCCAGGATCTACATTTTTCAAAGACCCTTCTGGCTTCAGTGTAGAGCAGCTGTCTCCAACATTTTTTGGCACAGGGACCAGTTTCGTGGAAGACAATTATTCCACGAGCTGGGGCGGTGGCGGTGGGCGGCATTAGATTCTCATGAAGAGCGCGCACCCTAGATCCCTCACATGCGCAGTTCACAGTAGGGTTCGCGCTTTGTGACAGGAGGCGAAGCTCAGGCGGTGAGGCTCCCTAGCCCGCTGCTCACCTCCTGCTGTGCAGCCCTGTTCTCACTGGGGGTTGGGAACCCCTGGTGTAGAGAATGGGCTTTAGGGAAGCGAGTGACAGGAAGGAGACCGCCCAGGGGCTGGAGCTTTTCCAGCAGAGGGCTGGCTTAGACTAGGGTAGAGTGGGTGGAGATCTTGAGAAGAGATAGATTAAAGTCATATTTGAAGGTGGAGTGATGCGCTTGCTGATGGGTTCGCATTAAAGTAGACGTGAAGGTAGCACCAAGGGTGTCTTCCAGACACTCTCTTGAATGGTTGCCGTGACACCATTTTCTGAGGTGGGAATTGGGAGCTAAACTTCAACTTGAATCCTGTCTCTACAATTCCCAACCATGTGATCTTAGGTTACTATTTTTTCTCCAGCCCTTATTGAAAAGGGGGAAAACCAGTAACTAACTTGTGAGATTGTTTGAAGAGTAAATGAGACAACCCATGAAAATGCCCAGCCAGGATCCTGGACCATATCAATAGCCTTATATTGGATGCCATTGCTGCTCCAAGATTCATTAGTATTTACTATCAAACTCAAGACAGGAAACCAGATGCTCTTGTAGGCTTTTTCTCAGGTTCTAGCACTTGGCTTTGGCTACTGAGAACTGTGATATTCCAGGCTGAAAAATATTTGCTGTCCCCAAAGGGCAGGTCAATGTGAATGATCTTTTTAATAATAATGATAGCTGATATTTGTTGAGCACTTATTATTGTTCGGTTCTTTATGTGGTCCATTTTAGTTATTTTTTACAATACCCTATGGCTCAAGTACTTTTATCGTTTTCACTTTACAGATGAGGAAATCTTAGGTTTAAGGGTTTAAATCATTTTTCCGGTGATCTCCAGCTAATAAGTGGAAGAGACCGGACTGCATCATAGGGATGTTCAGAGATCAGGCAGAAGGATCATCTTTCCCGACAGGACTATGGAGCCCAGGCCCCGTCCTTGTCATGCCCCTGCTCAGGTGTCACAGGTCTGAGCGCCAGGACAAAGCCGGAGACCTCGCGCTAGGACCGGTGCGCCTTGCCCACTGTCTGCATCTGTACTTTCTGCCTCGTCCACGGTCCCCACCAACGCCCCGCGCCCTAGTCCCGTTCAGACCAGATCCGCTCCACTCTAGCCCACCGCCCTACTGTGTACCTGACCCTAACTCCCCCGCCATGCCGGCCGCCTCAGCCCCTCCCCCGGCCGTCGCCCCCGCGTCCAGTCCCTCAGCACCCCGAGTCCCTCAGTCGCTGCCCCGCCCCTCCCCACCTCCTGCCGCCCGTTCCTCAGCCGCTGCCCCACCCCGTCCCTCCTGACCCCTCCACTCCCCTCCACATCCCATGCACGTCCCTCCCCAGCCCTGCACGCCCCGCCCCATCCCCTGCACGCCCCGCCCCTCGCCCGCTGCCCCTCCCACCCCCTGCACGCCCCGCCCCTCGCCCACTGCCCCGCCCACCCCCGGCATGTCCCGCCCTCGCCCGCTGCCCCGCCTCCTCCACGCCCCGCCCCGCGCCAGCTGCGCACGGCTGACGCCCAGCGGCGCCAAGAACTTAGCGCCCGGGACCTGACTCGCGGACCCGGCGACTCTTCGCAGCCTCAGCTTGTGCGCGCCACACCTCAGACCCGGCTTTCAAAGTAGGGCGCAGCATGAGAGGCCTGCCGGACCCCGAGGGCTGTAGGCGGGCTGGGAGATGGGAGCCGCCGCCACCCACATCCCCACACGCACCGGGCCCCGGCGCCTCACCGCCCCCTTAGCTCGCGGCGCCAAGCCTGGAGGGTCCCGCCTGAGGAAGAAAGGTCGTCGCCCGCAGCCCAGTTAGGACTGGAGGCGCGACCCGGGGTCTCTCTTCCCTCACGCAGAAGAAAATGGGCGCTGTGGCCTCAGTTTCCCTCTGTGAGCACCCGGCCTTGAACGCTGAGGAGTCTTCTGTGAAGGAGCCTTTGGCGTCCCTCTGCCCCTGAGAGTGGCCGTCAGCTGCTCCCAACCCCGGCACCTTCCTTTCCCGTCCCTCACCCGCTTCTGTCTCCCCTCCCACCCCGTGAAGGGTCTAGCCCTCTCCGGCTCTCCCCTCTCTCCCCACTCTCCTCTCCCAGGGTCACTCCCCCCCGCCCCGGCCAGGTCTTCTTCCTACCCCTCCCTCCCGCCACTGCCTACACCCAGCCCTTCCTGCCGGTTCCCAGGGATTGGCCATTAGCTTCACTTTGCACCAAGTCAGTTCAATCTAGAGATAGAAATAGCCTCCAAGACATGGGTTTTTTTGTGTGTGCATATTTTGTGGGGGGGTGGGGAAGGGTAGGTAATAATGTGCTCGGGAAAATCAATGTCTCAGGAATAGTAAATCGCAGGGTTTGGGGTTTTGGGTTTTTTTTTTTTTTTTTTTTTAAAGTCCGTCACTTAAAAAGTACATTTTATTTTTTGAGAGAGTCTCCCTCTGTCGCCAGGCTGAAGTAATGAGGTCCCGGTTGACTGGAGCCTCTGTCTCCCGGATTCAAGCGATTCTCCTGCCTCAGCCTCGGAAGTAGCAGGGATTACAGACTCCCGCCACCATGCCTGGCTACTTTTTGTATTTTTAAGAGAAACAGGGTTTCGCCATATTGGTCAGGCTGGTCCCCAGTTCCTGGCCTCAAAGTGATCCGCCCACCTCGGCCTCCCAAAGTGCGGGATTATAGGCATGAGCCACCACTCTGGGCCAAAGAGTACATTTTAAAAGTACCTCACACCACTGGGAGCAATTTAAAAAGATAAATAGGAATTTATTCCGAGATAGCAGAACACACAGACTAAAAAGAAAGACAGTGGAACCAACGCAAGGCACAAGCCATAAACATTAAAATCTCCAGCTGCCGGGTGGGGGAACATGGTTTGGCGGATTACATGCAAAATACCCAGTTTGGGCATAATGATTGGATCTTGCGGTAGAAATGGACATTGACTGAAGTTTACCTAAGTTTTTAATTCTGTGGTCGACTCTGTGTTTATCTTGGCTCAGTTTTCTCTTTTATCAGAACCTTAAAAAGCTTCGTAGTGGCCGTGTAAGATTACTTATATGTAAGCAATAATTTGATTCTTCTCTAGAAGTCAAAGTGTTATAACATCCCTTCTCATCTTTAGCTTAGTCATAGAGCCCTGTGGTGTTACCAAGAACAGTACAGTTCGTAAAAACAGTACAGTTTGCAAAAATGGATATTAATTCCTTCTCTTTAAGTGAAGATTTTCTTTTACCATTCTTATTTCAAAATATTTAAATTTGATTCTTGTTTTCTCCCTTGCCTTCTAATTCTTTTTCTATAGTTTCTTGTTTTCTTCATTTTTCTACTATATGAAGTGGAAACTTCACTCCACTTTTTGGAATCCCATGATTTTACCTTTACAAATCAAAATATTATTGAATAAACCAGAGCATCTTAAAGAGAGCAATGAAATTCAACACTTGTGTATAAATCAATAGTCCAACACTTCTTAAATTCTTAAGTTTTAGAAAAGAGGTGCTCTGTATTAGCTTTTCTTGGTTTTGTCTGCCTTTTCTTACTCTTGTTTCTTATTTCCGTTTCCTATAGTTTCAGCCTTCCTCTTCTATTTGACTATATTAGTAAGAAGAAAACTCCATTTTTTTGTATTAAATAAGTGAAATGTAAGAAGAGATCATTAATCAGGTTACATTTAAGCCAGGTGTAGAGGTGTAGTTCACAATCTACTAGAACTTTGTCGTTAGGTTATAATTTTATTTTCTAAATAAGGTTCTCTTATTTACAAGAGAATAATTTGAATTGAATAACACATTGAATTAGAACATAATCTGAATGTGATTTTATAGAATTGATAAATATTTATTTTATAAAATAGCGATAAAAAGTTTTTGTGGTAAAATTTTAAATATCTTTTCATGTTCTCTCTAGTTCATTAAATACAAGTAAGGAATACAGGCAACATGTTCTACACACATGTGCTTATGAGTAAACGAGGGCCATTGGCCAAAATATGGCTTGCAGCTCACTGGGAGAAGAAACTCACGAAGGCCCATGTATTTGAATGTAATCTAGAGATAACCATTAAAAAAATTCTTTCACCCAAGGTATGTTACTGATTAAAATTATAGCTTGTATTTACAGTGACTTTGGGGGAGGAAAGGCATTAAAATACAGTTATATCAGGAAATACATTTTCAAGGAAATTTTACTTGTCAAATGGTCTTTCCTTTAATTCCTGTAGCATTTCGTGTTATAACAAACATTGGTTTCTGTTGACAATTAACTTTTTCATATATCTGTCATAAATAGATTGGACCCTAAGGGATAAAGGCCATATTTTATGCATATTTATGATCCTTTCTTATTCACTAACAAAATACAGTAGATACAGAAGATACTTAATAAACATCTTTTAGAAAATAATGAACAAATGGGAGGATAGAAGGAAAGATGACTGATTATAAATCCAAAAATATGTGAAAATATGTCATAAACAGTAAAGTACTATGTTCATTATAAAACACTATAAAACAGTGATTAGAATTTTCATTACAGTATTTGATATTGTTATAAGTTAAGTATTTTTCAACTTTAGAGAAGGACAAATTGAAAGCCTGTTGTGTGTTAGGCATGGGGCTGGACTTTATGCCTATAAGTCTATTTAATCTTTACAACAACCCTATGAGGTTGGCTTCTTTGAGCTTCTGTGAACTGTAGTTAGCATGTTTTGAGTTGGTCAAATTTACATTTAATTATTGCTTTATCACTTAATAATTATATTACTTTGGACATCCTACTTAACATATCTGAGTCTTAGTTTTTTCTTCTGTAAATAGATGTTGTCAAAATTAAATAAATTAGTGTATGAAAAGCTCTTAGAACAGTGCCTGACATAAAGTAAGTATGTAATAAATTGTAGCCATTTTTATTAAACTGAAGTTCAGGAAGGTTTAAGTGACAGCTTCAGCAACTGAACCAAGAACTGAACCCAATTCTGTCTGACTACAGAGTTCCTATTCCTCTCATAATACCAATAATAGTATACTTTACTTAAATGCCATATTAGATTAACTTCCTTGAATAAGAATCAAAAGTCAATCATTTTGTAAGGTGAGGTAAAAAGTTAAGTGATTTACTTTAAATAAGAATACAAAATATCTGCTTTTTAAAGAGAACAAATTCTTATGATGTCAGTAACTTTCAAAGAATAGGATTTATGAACCTAATTTTTACTCTTCTAATACTTCAAAAATTGTTGAAAGGTGAAAATTGCACTCCGAACTTCAGGACACCTTCTTTTGGGAGTTGTTCGAATTTATAACAGGAAGGCAAAATACCTTTTGGCAGATTGCAGTGAAGCATTTCTTAAAATGAAGATGACATTTCGCCCAGGTATACATGTAATGTTGATTTGTCTCACTCTTCTTGGTTCCCTTTTGCATTTTAGTTGAGGGTGGGCTCTTTAATATACTTCAGGTGAGTATGGTGAATGTAAACTTAGTTTTGAATGAATCTAGCTTTCCATGGTTGAGGATAAATTGTATTCATTTCCTTGCTCTTTTCCTATGCATGCAGGAAAGGTTGTGCTTTCTAAAACTTGTAATGTTCCTGCATATTTATGTAGGATATATACTTAAAGTCACTACACTTGCATAAGAAACTCTGCTACTCTGTTTTTAATGGATCATTTAGTTTGTCTTACCTGTTTTTGCCTTTATGAGAGAAATTGGAAATAGTATAATTGACAAAACACAGATATCAGTAATTGTAATTGTTTTTCCGAATTCTCAAGACTCCAAACAGCATGTTGCTTATGACATATCAAAAATCCTTAAGCATTCCAAAGTGCTAGAGATTTACATGTTTCATAAATATAATGCCTTCAAAATGTATATAGCATCTGTTTCACTTTTAAGACATTCTTTGTTTTCCTCCTTGTTTTGTGGTTATTTAGGTACAGATTTGCCTCTGTCACTAGTCTTCAAGCTTGTTGAAGGCAAGGTCTTTGTCATAATTATTTTCTGAATCTCTTATAGTATCTGTCTCAGTGCCTTGCACATACTATTCCATCAATCAGCAGGAAGGCAAAATATCTTTTGGCAGATTGTTGAATCAGGATTGATAGATTTTTTTTTATCTTCTTCATTTAAAATATTTGCATAATCTCTAGGCAAATTTATATTTATATCAAGTATGGTTTATTTGTCCATTTATTATTTTTTTACATATTCCACAAATATTTATTGATGTCACACGCAGTGCCAAACACTATGTTAGGCTCGGGGATACAAAGACAAGATATATAAGATTCTTTTCAGTCAGGTGAGGAAATTAGATAATTAAAATATTAAAAACTTATTACAGGAATTATAAATTATAATTGTGCTATAAAGGAAAATAAACAGAGGGCTACAGCAGAAAATAACAGAGAAGTTCACTTTAATTAAAATAATTGGAAAAATCCTTTCTGAGAGGATAGAATTTAAGCTCAGACTTGAAAAATGAGAACTACCTAGCCATGTAAAAAGTCCCTGAGGGAATAGCATTCTAGGTAAAGGAAACTGCAAGAGCAAGGGTCTTGAGGTGGAAAAATGCTTAACTTTTTTAGGGAACAAAAAGGCTAGTATGGTCAATATGGTTGGAAAATAATGAGAAAAGAGATGTCATTAGCTGATGCCTGATAAGTTTGTAGGGGCACAGAGGCTCCAATTGCAAATTTTGATTTTATTAAATGCACTGGAGAGGTCACTAAATCATTTTAAGCTTTAGAGGCATCTAACCTAATTAATTTTTTAAAATATTGCTTTGTCTGCTTTGTAGAGAACAGACTACAGAAGAGTAGGAGTAGATAGAGGAATACTAGTTAAAGAGAATAAGCAGTAGTCCAGTAAAAGAATATAGAGAGTTCGTTGGGAGTTCCTTATTTTATATAGCATTGTTGCTTATTGAGTGTGGTTTTTTTTATTCTTTTCAGGACTGGTTGACCTGCCAAAAGAGAATTTTGAAGCATCTTACAATGCTATCACATTGCCAGAAGAATTTCATGATTTTGACACCCAAAATATGAAGTAAATTATTTTATTTATTTTCCTTTGGTTTAATTTTCTTGATATTTGCTTTTATATTCAGATTTCATTGAGGCAAATGGAATGTAGTTAACAGCTGAAAAAGTACAGATGTGGTTAATAAAGACTTATGTTTGGTATAAAATCCCAAAGCACAACAACGAAAGTGTATCATTATATTTATTCAATGTAGTTTACAATATTGACAGTATATTCATGTATTCATTCAGTAAATATTCATTGTGTGCCTTCCATATGCCAGAAACTGTTCTAGGCACTGAAGAGATAGCAGTGAATTAAACATAGCTACTGGCCTTATGGATCTTAAATTTTAGTTGGGGTAGATAATAAATAAACAAATATATGTCAGGAGATGATCACCATTATGAAGAGAAATACAAAATGAAATAAATAGTATGACAGGAAAGCCTTTTCTGAAAAGGTAAGAACAGAAATCTGAAGGAGGTGAAGGAACAAATCATTTAGTAATGTGGAAGAATATTCTAGGAAGAGCAAGTAGAAAGACCCTAAAGCAGAGAGCATACTGGACATTTTCGAGGAGCAGCAAGAAGGCAAGTGAGACTAGTGGAGTAAATGAGGAGCTGAGTGGTAGGAGATGAGCTCAGAGAGGTAGCAGGAGATGCAGATGATGTAGGATGTTGTACACTACAGTGGGACTTTTTTTTTTTTTTACTCAGGTAACACAGGAAGGTTTTGAATAGAGGAGTAATAGGATCTGACTTGATTTCAACATCTTCTCTCTGGCTGCTTACTATAAGGGGAAAGGGAGGAATCAGAGAGCCCATGAGAAGATTATTGTAGTAAGAAGTCCAAATGAAAGAACATAGTACCTATGATCAGTTCTCAGTCTTCATCTCACCCAGGTGGTAGCAGTCAAGTTACAGATATATCTGGAAGGCAAAGCCAGTAGGATTTGCTGATGAATTGATTATAGCTTTAAGAGAAAGTGAAGGATACTATATGATTTTTGCCGTGAGAACAGACTTACCACTTAATAAGATTAGGATAATCAGATTTAAAAGGGGCAGAGAGAAGGAAGTAAACTAGGTTTTATATATAAGTTTTGGGGTGACTGTTACACATCTGTTACGGTCTGAATGCATGTGTTCCCCTAAAATTCGTATGAGGAAGACACAAACATTTAGGCCATAGGAAAAGTCAACATCTAAGTCAAATCATGTTGAAACCTAACCCTCAAGGTCATGGTATTAAGAGGTGGGGCTCTGAAGCCACAATAATCTTTTAGGAAGAACAACAAAAGAGTTGGAAGTGATTAGGTCATAAGAGCTCCACCATCATAAGTGAGATTAGTTCCCTTATAAAAGAGACCTGTAGGAGTTTTCTTGTCCCTTTCCCTGTGTGAGTTCACAGCAAAAAGACACTGTCTATGAGGAACAGGCCCTCAAAAGACACCAAATCTGCTGGCACCTTGATCTTGGACTTCACATCCTCCAGGACTGTGAGCAAAAAAATTTCTGTTGTTTATAAATTACCCAGTCTGTTATTTTATTATAGTTGCCCGAATGGACTAAGACAACATCAAAGGAGGGTAGTAAGTAGTTGACTCTCTGGGTTGGAAATTCAGGAGAGAGGTCTGAACTGGATGTATAAATTTGCAAGTTGTGAATGTATAGATGGAACTTCAACCATGAACTCTAAGAGATCCCCAAGGTAGTGAATATACATTTAAAAAAAATAGAGAGAGGGATCTGAGGACTGAGTATATGGTCATTCCCAATAGTTAGTCTGGGATATGAGGAACAGAAAAGGAGCAGGTAGGAAGAATATCAAGAAATAGTGATATTTCAAAGAGGCCAAGACAAGAATGTATTTCATGAAGGGAGTTTTCTTAGTCTGTTTGGGCTGCTATAACAAAATACCATAAACTGGGTGGCTTATTAACAATAGAAATTTAGTTCTCGTCATTCTGGAGGCTGAGAAATTCCAGATAAAGTTGCCAGCAGATTCATTGTCTGGTGTTGGCCTACTTCCTGATTCATAGATGGCAACCTTCTCACCATGTTGTCACATGGTATAAAGAGTGAGGCAGCTTTCTAGGGCCTCTTTTATAAGGGCACTAATCTCATTCATGAGGAATCTGCCCTCATGACCTAATTACTTCCTAAAGTTCTCACCTCCTAATACCACCACATTGGAGATTAGATGTAAACATATGCATTTGGGGTGAGGAAGACATAAACATTTAGGCCATAGCAAAAGTCAACATCTAAGTCAAATGGTGTTTGTTTGTGCAAGCAAATAAGGGACTGAAAATAGACCATTGGATTTGGGAGCCTAGAGATTATTTATATACATGTATATATAATAAACTAGTATTTATATATAATACTATTGAGAAAATGAAAATTGTTTTAGTTTCTTCACTGTATCAGTGATATTTTTACAGTATCATTGTTTCCTGTTCTCATGTTTTTCTCAACCTTATATTTCTCCATAGTGCTATTGATGTTTCAGAGCACTTTACTCAGAATCAATGCAGACCAGAAGAAATCACTATTAGAGAAAATTTTGACAATGATCTACTTTTTCAAGCTGAGGGCTTTGGTGAGAATATTTGAGAACTCAAAATTAAAAATTATAATTAATTATATTTGTGTTTGTGTATTGAAACAATGCCAGTAGAAATAGCTATAGAATGAATCTTTTGATGTATAAACGTAATTCTCAATAAATTTTTCCTTGCCTTTTTCTAGTATAGACGTCAATGCTAAGACTCAGTCTTAGGATATACTTCTATTCTCAGTGTTTAACCATTTACTGAATACCTACTATATATCAGGTGCTATCAATAGACAAGGTAGTACCAAAATTTAAAGAAGCAGTTCCTGCCTTCAGGGAGATTCAGGGTATGAGACAGACACATCAATAAACAGTTGCTATATCAACATACATACAAGATTTTATATGTATGCTGCATGAAATGCCTTCAAAATATATTTCTTCTGGCATATGATGTTATCAATTGTAAAATAATGGATTTTAAATCAGCCTGGGGGTGAGGAAGAGGGAATTCTACCACACTAAATGTATATATTGATTGTGAAATAGAAACTGAATTTTAAAATGTTAAAATCTGTTTGGGCAAGGTGAGTGTACTTTATTTTTAAAATTTTTTGAGACAGGGTCTTGTTCTTGTCACCCAGATTGGAATGCATGATCATGGCTCACTGCAGCCTTGACCTCCTGGGCACCTCAGCCTCCTAAGTAGCTGGGACTATGGGTACATGCCACCACACTCGGCTCACACCTGTAATCCCAGCACTTTGGGAGGCTGAGGTGGGCAGATCACTTGAGGTCAGGAGTTCGAGACCAGCCTGACCAACATGGAGAAACCCCATCTCTACTAAAAATATAAAAAATTAGCTGGGCATGGTGGCACATGCCTGTAATCCCAGCTACTTGGGAGGCTGAGGCAGGAGAATGGCTTGAACCTGGGAGGCAGAGGTTGCAGTGAGCTGAGATCATGCCATTGCACTCCAGACTAGGCAACAAGACTGAAACTCTGTCTCAAAAAACAACAACAAAAAAAAAACCAAAAAACTTTTTGTTAAAGACAGGGTCTTGCTATGTTGCCCAGGCTGATCTTGAACTTCTGAGTTCAAGTAATCCTCCTGCCTCAGCCTCCCAAAGTGTTGGGTTTACAGGCATGAGCCACTGCCTGGCTAGTGTACTTTAAAATTGAAGCAATACAGTATAATTTATAGAGTATTTGCTCTTTTTCTTCTGGCATCTACTACTCCCTGTCTTATATCATGATATTTATACACCTCTTATACTGGTCTGCAAGTTACATGAGGGTAGAATCAGTGTAATGTTCATATTTGAATTTCCTATAGTGCCCAAAACAATGAGTATAGGAGAAAGATGGCCTATGTCTATCTTGGTTGGGGAAGGGAGTCAAGAAAGTAATGCTCGACCAACAACTCTAACTTCGACTTTTCATCCTCACTCTGCTTCCATAACTCTTGCTATATCTGCAGCTGTGTTTTTCAATCTGTGGTGAAGGATCAGTTTTATAATTTTTGTCAATTTTCAATCTGTATTATATTTTACTTTGTAAAATACAATAAAATGAATTATTAGAAAAATTTAAAATTTAAAAATCAAAATACAACTTCAAGTTTTGTTAGTAGAATCAACATATATAAAATTGCTCTGTCAAATTTCTGTAAAACTTTCTGAACATGTACTTTTAATTTATTTTCTTTCTTTGTGGACCAGCACCAGTCCGCAGATTATACTTTAAGTAGCACTGATCTCTTACTGGGTATAACCCCAGACCCAGAACTTTAACACATTGGCAAAGAGGTAATAATATTCCCTACTCCCAAGACACTTTTTACAATTCCGTACTATTCTTATTTGGGCCTGAAACTTTAGGATCACTTCTTTTTTTTTTTTTTTTTTTGATATGGGGTCTCGCTCTGTCATCCAGGTTGGAGTGGAGTGGCACAATCTCAGCTCACTGCAACCTCCGCCTCCCAGGCTCAAGCAATTCTCCTGCCTCAGCCTCCAGAGTAGCTGGGACTACAGGCATGCGCTACCACACCTGGCTAATTTTTGTATTTTTAGTAGAGACGGGGTTTTACCATGTTTGCCAGGCTGGTTTTGAACTCTTAGCCTCAGGTGATCTGACTGCTTCAGCCTCCCAATGTGCTGCAATTGCAGGCATGAGCCGCTGTGCCTGGCCAGGATCACTTTTAACTATACTTTCAGGCAGTTTCATACCAGTGCTGTTTTTTGTTTGTTTGTTTTTAAATTCTGAGATGTCTTTTAGGTCTTTTTTCTATTTCCTTAGCCACTGATATAGTTCACCAGTACCAAAGTCCTGGAGTATTGCAATACCCTCCTACAAATCTTCTTCTAGTCTCTTTCCACGTTTTGTACACCTTTGTAAGAGCAATTGTCTTTAAATTCCATTTTTGATATATCACATTCCTCTGCTTAAGTGCAAAGGATTGGGTCCCTATGACTTACTGTATCACGTACCTCTACCTATACTCAAGGCCCTCTCCCAATTTATCACCTTCTTTATTTTATCAGCTTTATTTGTTTTACTCTTAATATGAGCTTTTTGCTCTAGTTAAGCAAACATCTTACCACCCAACCAATACAATTTAATTGTTTACATTTCTGTATCTTCCTATACAATTTTAAAAGGTGGGAAGAACATGTTCTTAGTAAATGGACAGATTTGGGTTTGAATCTGAACTTTCTCTATTGATTTGCTGTGTGATATTGGGCAGATTGCCTAACCTCTCTGAGCCTTACTTCCCCTATTTGTAAAGTTGGGATACAACTAACAACATCATAGGGTTATTTCCCTTATTCCTTCCTTTAATCTTCTTCACCAGTGATTTTTCTCTTCTTTAAAACCTGATTCAAGCCTAATATCCTCTAAGAAATATTTAAAATTAATCCATCTTATTCTGGATTATAATATAACATCAAAGGCAATGATTATTTCTTTTATGTAATTTGTGTAATCTGAGATTCTTGTGATGCTCAATGCTGAGAATATAGTGTCTTCCTAAATCTTATTCTCTTATTGACCAACGCTGGCTTTTCCTTTCGGAGCTGTCAAGCTGTACCTGGATGATGTGAATATATTCTTAATTTTTGAAAAAGTAATTTGGTCTTTTCTTCTGAGCAAGTCTTTAATCCAGCATCATGATAGTTGTTTTTTTCCACTCTTCCTTTCTAGAAGATTTAGGTCTATAAAAGAATTTTCAGTATGGGTAATACTTCATGATTTTCTTTACTGTCTAACACTAACATGGGTTTTTAGAGGGAGGAGAGGACTAACCTGGACCCCGGGGGTTTCAGACTCCTGGACCTAGAGATTCAAACCCAAGAGAGGGAAAGAACTGATTTCTGGTCAAGAGCTGACTTCTGGTCCTCTGGAAGTATCAGTATAGTGTAGTGATTGTCAGAATCACTTTGGAGTCAGAGACAGCTGGGTTCAGACCCCGACTCTGTCACTTATTATAGTGTGACTGTGTGCAAGTTAACAAAACCTTTCTGTGGTTGTGTTTCCTCATCTGTACAATGAGAATTATAATAGTAGTTTCTATTATATGATACATATTATAAGCACTCAGTTAATGTTAGCTGACTGGGTTTTTCTTTTTCTTTTTTTAAAAAACCTATATCACTATCCCCTAGCATATTCAATAAATATTTATTGAATGAATGTTGTAAACCCTGTCTCTAATATTTTACCTACCTTTCAATTTCCAAAGATGGCTGACATGTTCCTTATTTTCCAAACCTCCACTATGCATGAACAGTACAAGCAATTGTCCTTGAAATACTGTGAGATATACTTGGTCAAACAGAACTGACTTACCTAAAATAGAAAAAAATATTTTCCATAGTATTTTTACCTTAGGATGTTATTAAACTATATCACAACTATAAACTCTGTAATATTTTGGCATTTTTTTTCTGTTGTATTTGAAAGAGGATTAGACTAAAAATCTGGTCTCTACTGATTAACTGAGTGACTTTAGTTGAATAATTCAAATAAGTCTTTCAGCCATTTTCTTCATCCGTAAAATGATGTGTTGGATGGCAGGATTATGCTAGATGATATATGAATTTCCTTCTAACCTAAAATTCTGTGTTTCTGTGACTTAGTATTAATGATATATATTTATTTAGGGGAGGAATCTGAAATTCTCAGAAGACATAGCTTCTTTGATGACAACATATTACTGAATTCCAGCGGTCCTTTAATTGAACATAGTTCCGGAAGCCTCACTGGAGAAAGATCTCTGTTCTGTGACAGTGGAGATGGGTTTGGAGATGAAGGAGCTACAGGAGAAATGATTGGTATGCTGTCTGGTCATGTAGAAATCAAATATTTATTTTAATCAGATTATATTAGTAGATTTATTATATCAGTCTAAAATTTCAAATATGTTTTTGTGTTATATAGATCAATACATTTTTCATTAAATTTTCAAAGCCTCTGGCATGTTTAAATATTTAGGCTAGGCCTAAGTAAATAGCCATCTGTTTAAATACATTTTCTATAGAGCTTATAAACTACTTCTTGTTTTTACTTTTACAAATTCCTCATTTTTGGTGGGAAGAGAGTGAGGTTAGTATATTCCTTATAAAATATACTAGACTATATATTGGAAAACATTGTTTTCTTTAACATACGTTGTAGGGCAGCTAAAGTATTTTTCCAGAATTTTATATTATTATTTTATATTTATATTCCTCTGCTTAAGTGCCTTGGGTCCCCATGACTTACTATGTCAAATACCTCTACTTATCCTCAAGGCCTTCTACCAATTTATCACCTTCTTTTTTTCATCAGCTTTGTTTGTTTTAATATAGACTATTTCACATTATAAAACAGTCATAGAAATTGGGTAGACAAAAACTGAGAAGTCAAATGTGCATGTTTTATTTATTATTATTTTTATTATTATTATTACTATTATTATTTTGAGATGGAATCTCACTATGTCACTTAGGCTGGAGTGCAATAGCACGATCTCAGCTCACTGCAACCTCCACTGCCCAGGTTCAAGCAAGTCTCCTGCTTCAGCCTCCTGAATAACTGTGATTACAGGGGCCCGCCACCACATCCGGCTAATTTTTTTCGTATTTTTAGTAGAGACAGGGTTTCACCATGTTTGATCAGGCTGATCTGGAACTCCTGACCTACCTCAGCCTCTCAAAGTGCTGGGATTACAGGAATGAGGCACCGCACCCAGCCTAAATGCACATGTTTTAAATATTATTGACTGTTCCTATCAAATCTTTTAAAAAATTCTCTAGTTCACATTAAAAGTCTAGCTATTCCTTAACAATGTAATGCATAAAGTAACATTAATAAATGTTTAGTGACAAATGACAGATTCCAGTCTGTATGAAAAAGTATTCATTGTGTTTTTCAAGACAATCTATTGCAAGATGACCAGAATATCCTGATAGAAGACATGCATTTGAACAGAGAAATTTCCCTGCTTCCTGAACCTCCCAGTAGTTTAGTGGGTATGTTGAAATTTTCCTTTGTGGGAAAGTAATGGGTACTAATGTTTAAATTGAGCCTCAGAACTTCTGAATTTAAGTAGCAATATAGAATAGTGAAAGGTAATTGTAGGGCTGTTGGGCCCCACAGGGTTGTGGGGTGTCCCTTATGCTGTGCTGAGGTGCAGTATCCGAGAAGTAAAGAGACAAGGACACTGAAGAACTGGTGAAGAGTATCTGGACTTGGAGGGGCCACACCACCTGTGAGAAGCGATCGGCAAGAGCCCCAAATGCCCAGAAGCATCTGTATTTATTAGGTACAAGCAGGGGGCAGGGTTGTAAGTGAGGTCATGATCTATGGGCTTAGTAATAGGGCATACATGATCACGTGAGTCACAAGCAAGGGGGTCACCCCATTATGTCACCTGGGCAGAGAGGTGGGCCGTGTGCAGTAGGGGGCCATGCTGTGCGCAGTAGTAGAGGGTTGTGTACAGAAAAGCGGTCTACCCCAATTAGGTCACCAAGGCAAGGAGGTGGGCTGTGTGCAACAGGTGTCCTGTGCAACACTTCTTATCTGGGGGCTGGAGACTTCAAAGGATTTCTAATAGAAGCCAATGCAGTGGGAGCTGAGACTTGTGCTCTTCTCTTGCGATATTTATGGGACGATGATTTGAGCTAGCACAGAAGCAAGAAAAGACTTGACAGGGTGTACAGCCACTGTGAGTGGTCACACCAGAGGGGTTCTTCTCCCTCGGTTACTTCCACGATCTCAGGCCTGGGGCCTACTTTCCACAGGAACTGGATGCAAGGTACTACAACTCCTTTATCAGGAGGAGAGGCTCTTGCTCCAAGCCTTCCATACAGCATATGCCCTTTCAGGCAGGGACGCCACCGCCTGGGTCTTTGGTTCTTGTCCTGGTCTGGCTGTTTTCCCATGTACTGCTTCTGTTCTGTGACTGCTCTAGGCATTCCTCCTACTACAAACTACTATATGGTTATATAGAAGGATTCTATAAATCAGCACTAAATGTATCGGTACAGCTCTGACTACAATACCTATATGATTATATAGAAAGATTATATAAACTAAGTATGCTAGATATAAGAATTAAGTATGATTATATAAGGCAAATATATGTAAGGAGTAAGTTATACTTCAAGCACTAATTCTATAAACAAATATATGATTACATATAAAGGATTATATAAAGGAAATAATTGAGTAATAACACTATAAACTAAGATATTCTTCAGGCACTAATTGTGCCTGGGGTCTGGACGGTTCTCCTTCCTCGGTGCCCATTGAGGGTGTTACCCACAGTAGTAAAGAACAATGTCCTTCAAACTCTGCTAGTCTGATTGTAGACAATATAAAATAGGAAATTGGATTCTGAGAAAGGTACATTGAAGGGTATTTAGCCAGTATTGGGTTTAGCATGAGAATACTCTGCCAAAATATTATACTTTTGATTTATTAATTAATTATTTTATTACATGGTAAGAAATTAACTAGTATGCTTTGATAATCTACATACAATTTGAGAGAAATTACAAATTGAGGATATTTTCCCTACTTGAAATTCATCTGGACGTAATTCAGATGATTTGAGGTCTTTTAGTCTGATTTTTCTTAAGAATTAAAAGTGCAATTAGCCCCATTTTGATTCTACATAATTTTTTATGTTATATTTGCTTTCTGAAAATAAGAGTAAAAACTGAAAATACAAAGAACTAAGTAATAAAATTTTGGTTCATTTTTTATGGGTCAACCGATAAGTGATTTAACAGAATACCAATTTTTTTAGCAGACATATAGTCAAATTTTTATCAGTCATTTACTGTAGTTGCTGCCACTGTTTTCACTTCTGCTGTGACTTTAGCCCACCCTTAGATGTCTCATGTGCAAAAAGGGATGATGATACTTGACTCACTCGAATTCTATGGGTCCCAGACCATATAATCTGTAAGCCTCTTCAACTCGATTAAATAAATGATTCCAAGAATTCAGATGTTCCAGTTAGCAACATAAATCTTCAGTTAGTTTATCTTTCCCTTTAATTCTCATACAGTCCTCTAGCCTGCATCCTAACTGTTTTTTTTTTACAATTACTTTTATGTGGATGTTGCTTAGTTGAAACAGATAACCCAGAGTGTATATGTGTACCTGAAAATGAAAAAATGGATGAAACAACCTTATTATCAACTGAAGAGGAAGGATTTACCCTTGATCCAATTGATATTTCAGGTCAGAGGCATTCAGATTTTTGTTTTAATTTTTAATACACTGTTAACTTATTTACTTTGAGATGTTTAAATAATCACTGAAATATTATAGGAGGCAGTCAATCTAGTACTAGCACTTGTACTACAATAGAGGAGAAGACTGTGAAGGAAATTTTAGATGATCCTTTTGAGGTGGGAAGTAGGACACAACTCCAGAAGGGGGCTTGGACTCTGGACCAGATGAGGACTAGCTACAAGGGGGAGTGGTGGAAGCTTTCAATCAGACTCAACCACCGTGTCAACTTACTGTTGCCATGGCAACACCAGGAATTCACCCTTTTCCTGGCAATGACCCAATGATTACTACTCCTCCCCTGCATAAACTGGCCCCCTTAATCTGCATGCAATTAAAAGTGGGTATAAATATGACTGCAAAACTGCCCTGAGCTGCTCGTCTCTGCCTACTGAGTAGCCCTGCTCTATAGCAGCAGTCACAGTGCTAGAGCTGTAACACCGCCAGAGCTGTAACACTGCCTATTCAATAAAGCTATTTTCTTCTACCTCTGACTTGCCCTTAAATTCATTTCCTGGACAAAGCCAAGAACCCAGATGGGCTAAGCTCCACTTTGGGGCCCATTTGTCCTGTATCCTTGTACCACTTTCATTATATTCAGTCCTGTTCAAACCACGTATCCAGTTTGGGAAACTGAAAAATTTAAAACTGAGTTCAGTTTAGGAAGGTATTGAGCCATTATTACTCTGCAGTGGGCACAGGAATAAAGAAAAAGACACACTTTTTACTTTTAAGAATCTTACAAAATAGTCTAGTCAGGAAGATAGATAATCATGCAAGTGAATATAAGGCAGAATAAAAGGACCAGAAGAGAGGCACGATGCTGTCTAGCATTTAACTTCAAGCATCATGTTTTTAGGGGTAAGCAGTAAGTATGAATCTAACATAACTAATATAACTACTAGTCTAATATAACTAGGTCATTTAGAAACATCCTAGTTTTTGGTAGTATAATTGATAAGAATTTCAGTTTATAAACTCAGACATGCAAACAGTAAAGCATTTACTTCTTCTTTTTTTTTTTTTTTTTTTTTTCTTTTAACTGAATTCACCACTGAGCCTCTCTCCCACTAGGCTGGCAGGAAATTCAATCTGTATAGCTTCCCAGGCTTCTTTTCTTTCCACCATGTAGTTCCAAAATTTGGGAGAGGGGTGTAGAAAGTGGAAGGGAACCTCTGATTATCAGCCAGACAAATTTGTGGTTCCCACTGCTCCAGCCTACATAGCCTGAGGATCAACACTTAGCCAACCTCTCTGGTATCTTGTCTTGTTCCTGGGATTTTACTGAGGCACATCAGCCAGCAAGCAGGTTCCTGTGCCTTTTGGTTCCATTTGATCTTGGATTTTTATTTATTCTGAGAATACTAACCCTCTCTCTCCTTTTACAGCTTTACTGAAGAAAAGCTTGACTTTTGCTTTCTGCCTGGTCAAGTTTTATTCCATCAAAATTTTACTCGATCAAAATTCCCTGATGGGGTAGAATCCTATGGACCTAGTTACCTGCCTAGAATGTCTATGAATCTCGGTGGGAGAGGAAAAAATACACTGGACAAATACAAATTAATGTTGCAGAAAATTATTCTATTATATAAACATTTTAGGGAACTTACAAATTTGTTGACTTCCCTCTCCCCCACATTTCCTCATTTGCTCACTTAACAGGTAGAACTCTTTCTAAGCACTTCCAAACAATACCTTGCAAAATGTATCAGCTATTGGCTGCTCAGCATAATTTTCAGAGGGAAGGAGAAGATATTTTCTTTCCAATGCAACACTGTAGGTTGTATTATGGTAGAAATTTATTTTCTTTTTTGGAGATAGGGTCTTGCTCTGTTGCTCAGTCTAGAGTATAGTGGTATGACCTCAGTTCACTTCAACCTCTGCTACTCAGGCTCAAAGGATCCTCCCATATCAGCCTCCTGAGTAGCTGGGTCTAAAGGTGCATGCTACCACTTGTGGCTAATTTTGTATTTTTTGTAGGAATGGGGTTTAGCCATGTTCCCCAAGCTGGTCTTGAACTCCTGGGCTCAAGCAATCTGCCCACCTTAGCCTCTTGAAGTGCTGGGATTATAGGCATGAGCCACCGTTGCTGGACTAGAAATTTCTTAAATATTTAGTGCCTACAATATGATTTTAGAAAGCCGTATAATCAATCACATTTGTGCCAATTTCTTGTATTTAGACATTGCTGAGAAAAGGAAAGGCAAAAAGAGGAGATTGCTCATAGATCCTGTCAAGGAGCTCAGTAGCAAAGTTATACAAAAACAGCTTACTTCCTTTGCGGACACACTCATGGTTTTGGAACTTGCACCTCCTACCCAAAGATTGATGATGTGGAAGAAAAGGGGAGGAGTGGATACACTTCTGTCAACTGCTGCCCAGGATTTGATTCATGCTGAACTGAAGATGGTAACAGTTTCTATCCTTCTACATGAGGGCAATGTTTGGTTATAAATAAATAAACAAACACATATTTACATACATATATTTATAACAGAATTTAAACTGGCTAAGAAGTACCTCCTCATTTTGAATTAATTTTCTGGATTGTACATATGAATTCTAGTTTTTTCCTTTTTAGATATGTGCTTGTGTTTTCTTGAATTGTTTTGCTGGTACAAAAAAAATGTATATTTTTGCAGTTGTTTACAAAATGCTTTCTGCCCTCTGGCTTTAAACTTGGAAGAAAAATGATACAGGAGTCAGTAAGGGAAGAAGTGGGAAACCAAACTATAGTAGGTGAGACTTCTTAATTCTGCTGATGTTGAGGGGAATGTTGTGGAAACAAAAATTTGGTGTCTTAAATTTCAAAATGAAGATGGGATCCAATTCCATATTTTAAGTATAAATGCTAACTCTAGAAGAGTAGTTGGACTTAAATGAAATTATTACTTCAGTATTGCATTTTTCTGCATTTTAGATTAATTTTTGCCCCAGAGATTTTATTAAAAAGATGAAGTAGATATACTGTGCAAACCATTCTTATTATCACTCTTTCTACCTCTTCACTCCCAAAGTCAGTACTAAAAAATCCTTAAAAAAGAAAATCTTTATATGTAGCAGGATAGTATTTCAATGTAAAACAAATAACATGAAAAGTCATGCAAGAATAAGAACAGCACTTAATACAGTTAACCTGAAATGGATTATTTCTGTCTACCCAAAAGGCACATGGAGTATTATAATCACTGATTATTATAATGATTGTTTTAAAATAATAATAAAACCAAATGGTGTGATGAGTGAGCCTCCACTTCCTGATGACCCTTCCTGAAGGCATTAAAACCTACTGAATAATATACCACCATGGGCTTGAACTGTCCATGTTGTCTTGTGAGTGAATATGTGAGAGTGTATGTAGAGGAGATGGTTGGCAGAGAATGGGGAATGGAGGTCATAAAGAGACAGAGGACGGGAAAGGGAAGATACACATGTGAGACTTGGGAGCGATAAGAAAGTTTGTTTATCCTTTGCTTAAATTCTTGGATCTCAACTTGTCTGTCAGAAGTTTTCTTTTGTTAAAAGTATATCACAATTGAACTTTGAAAGATATTTTGGTGAAATTGTCTTTATTTCTTTGATAATTCAGAGACATCCATGACACAAGAGCCAAATTCCCAGCGAGAGTTAAGTAAACCCCAAACTTGGAAGGATGTGATTGATGGAACTCAACATAGCTCTCATGAGGATACCAATAAAAATATTGACTCTGAGGTAAGTTATCCAGAGAGAATCGTAAAAATATTTTATGTTCTATAGATATGGTAAAGGAATGTTGGGACTCTAGTGTATTTTTTTACATTTGTATAGTTCATATTTCATTTTAAATTGTTTTACAATTTGTTTAGTAAGTAGCAGGGTAAAACATGATTTTCTTCTGCAAAATTTTTGTAGGAGTTTCAGCTGTAAATCACAACATAAGGTGGTTTCATTCTGAACTAGTATTTTGCATGATATGTTAAATCAATGTCTATATGTAAATCTGGTTATTTTCTGAGAATCCTACTAGGCCTCATATTCTATGTGTCATAGAATTTTTTAGAACTGCAGGCAGTATACCTGTTTTGCTTCTCATCATAAATTCACCCTCTTATCTCTAAGAATAATATATTTTAGACCCACCAGTTGCCTCAACCTTGAGTCTGAAAGACTATCTAAACATCTATGACCAAAACAAAATTTTTAAAACTTTTTATTTGAAGATACAATTTTTATTTGAAAAAATTACTATTTGAAAACATAGTTGGAAATAATGTGCTTTTAAATATTTTCTTTTATTTTATTGGTTGTACAAATATAAATGTTATAGCCACACCAGATAAAAATAAACCCGTGCTTTTCTGGTTGGTTCCATTATCACTGTATTTTGATAACCACTCAGGGAATTCAGTCAACTCATGTTGAAACTGAATGCCCTTGGAAGGAAAGACAACTTCACAATGCATTCAAATAGAATGCATTTTACTAAATATTTGATAATATACTGGATATTGAGATACTGGGTTGCCAGTACTGCTCTCTTCCTCACTTGGGCTCAGGCATTTCTTAAAATGTACCTACCAAAAATTATGATTAGGCAAACCTGTTTAGTTTATGATTTTTTGGAAGGAAAATATAACTGCAGTTATCATAGACATAACAAGATAGATTGTCCCATGGGCTTGAAGTAGAGAGAAGAGAGATTGATGTACCTCTTCTTTTGAACTTTTACTTCATTACCCTATGCTTATACTTTAACCTTCAGTTCTACTCTTATTCTGCTTCCAAAAATGGTTAACAAATGTGAAATATAGTCAAGCATGGGAGCACAAGAACAAGAGGGACAAGAAAATATTGATTCTGTTTAATCATTTTCAAATCTTCATAAAAAAGAATTTTTATATATCATAACTGCAAAGTTGAGAGTATCAAAATGTAGAATATTCATATAAATTAAAAGAAGAAAAACAAGGCTTCACAAATATGTATATTAAATAATAAAATATAACTCCTTATGTTTACTAAAAGTTTTTGAAGCTGAGTGGAAAAAGCAGCTTTCTAACTATGTTAGAGGGGGCTCTTAATCAAGATTGGGGAAGACAGCTGGGGAATGAAGCTTGGAGACAGGTTGAAGATGAAAGAGATTGACAGCTTCTATAGCAATGAGAAGGGAAGGAGATGATAGGGACTAGGGACTCTTTGACTGTCTCTTTTTCTTTCTTCCTTTGTGTCTTCACTCCCCTTCCAGCAGACAGTTTCTTCTTCCCTTTTGCCCGTGACAACTCCAGCAGTGGTGGCAGGAATCCTGTCATGGTCCTTGGTAGAGATATTAATATCCCTTCCCTCACTCTCACTCCCTCTCTGCATGCCTATTGCAGATGCCTTTCCTCTGCCACCTGGTATTGGCATGAGAATAGAGGTAAGGGAGTGGGGCTACATAAAGTGCTTCAAAGCAAAGTGGTCTCAGTAGCACAGCAGTAGAGAGTAAAGTCTCTTTAATGTGAGGCCTGCAGTAGCGAGGAAAATAAAAAGGAAAAGGATAGGAAGCAAGGAGGGAAGGGGCATGCAAGTTCTTCCTTTATGCAAGGCATATGGAAAACAGGAATATTAAGTCAAATACTGCCTATCTGGGATAGTTCAGAGATAATATTTTGAGAATGTGTCTTTTAAATTCGTTTGAGAAATGAGCATTCATGTGATTAAAACATTTAACAAAAATCAAATTGTTCCTGTATAACCACTGGCAGATTTACCTAACTTTCCCTAATTTGCTTCAGCAGGATATTGTTGAAATGGTGTCTTTAGATGCTGAGGAATCATCTTTAACGAATGACTTCTTGGCAAAAGAAATTGAATATAGTCCAGTTGAATTGGTAAATATATGTATAGTCTTGGGGATGTTCTTAAAAAATTTATCTCTAAATATTTAACACCTTATTTATCTAAAACTTGGCTTTTAAAACTGTCATGTTACTTTCAAAATTTATAATTTAAATTTGTGGCTACAACAGAGATGTTTGTGAATAGTTTGATAAAATATTCCGAATTGCTCTGATTTTTGTCTTTAATTTCTTTTGAAACTTCAAATACTTTTAAAGAAAAGTGTGAGATTTTTGTGCTCATCAAAAGTAGTGACAGGATTTAAAATATTGAGAATCACTATTTTAAATCATTGGTATAACATCTCTAGAGAAATAGAACTATATTAAGAGTATGGTGGCCTAGGGCATTTGAAATTTTATCTTATTTACCAAAAAATTGTGAGCAATTTTTTCTTTAACATTATGTAGCACAGTCTTGTATCTATACAAGACTTCTGGAAATCTGAAACAAAATAATCTGGTGGTCAAAGGGCCACATGTCAATTGCAAAGACAGAAGTAAAGTCTGATTTACCTGACTCCCTGCTTGTTAACTGTCTTATTTCTCTGGTCTTGTCCCAGAGTACTGAAAACATTTCTAAGATTGTAAGGAATTTTAGCAAAAGTTTTTTAGTAAATAATATAAAGACACATAGTAAGCCTGATATTAATCTGTTTCTATACAATTACCTATATAATGAGTTCCAAGACTAGCTGATTGTTTTTTCACACAAGAAAACAGACCGAATTCTCTAGATATTCTAGGACAGAATAAATAACCTGAACTTTTTACCTGAACTATCCAAACAGCTGAGCCAGAAGTGGGTTGATTCATTTTTTCTATTTGCTTTGCTTCTATAGATGCAGGTTATTTTCATACATGGTCAAGCAAATCGCAACATAGCACAAGTTCAGCTGTTTCAATAATCCACTGGGCTTTCCACACAATGGATTCAGCTGTAGGGTGTCCAGATAGATCAATAGACAGGCTTTAGCAGAATGCACAGAGTATTTCTTATGAGTCTTTCTCTGGTTAGGTTAGTTGTACATTATAGGTAAAGCTAGATCTCATGGATCTTTAACAAAGAGGTTTGTACATTTCTAAAACTGCATTTGTTTATTTAAAAATAAAATATTAATAAGTGGGTGTCCTCATTTATCCAAGGACAGATCAGAAAATAATAATCATAAATTTTAGCTGAAGGAATTTGGAAAACTCTCCAGAATAAAGTGGCCATATTTTCAAATCAGTTTCTTTGGGATACAGGAAAGCATACAGCATAGGCAGGCCCAGGAAGCTGGTATAGTTGGTGGAAATGGGGACTCAGTAGTTCCCAGGCTGAGTCAAAGAGTCCCTTTAGCCTCACATGATTTAAAATGTCATGCAGAATATTCTGGTGCTTTCTGTAATTGTCTTGGAGTCTATGAAATTGAAAGCACTTTTAGCAAGTGTCTGGGCTCCTATACATGAAGGCTAAACAAACAGTGGACATGTGATGAGAGTGACACAGATGCTGTTGGGTTGAGTGGTCAGAATTAGCTTAGGAAGAATTATAAAGTAGGCCAGCTTTGTGCCACTTCCCTTCCCCCAACCCTTTATAGGCCTCTTTTTTCAAATTCATGGACACTTTTCATATGCCCAGTTTCTGTTCTTACATCATAAGGTGTTAGTTTGTAAGGGATCGGAATAAATTCTCGCAAATGATTTCAACTTTACCATTTTTAAATATTGAGATATTTCTGAAAGTGGTTAAGCCTTAAATACCAAAAAAAAAAAAAAAAAAAAAAAAGAAAAAAAAAAAGAATCTATTCAGATAACATGACAGGTAGTCAGGCAGTGGGTTAATCTTTTTTGAACAAGGCATCTCGAAATCTGAAAGGTTTCTAACCTAATTGTACACAAACTACTAAACAGCAGTTGGGTTTAGAGCTTCCATTACCAGATAAGTTCAGATAAGGGCCTTTACAAAGCAGAAATAGCTGTATGTTTACTCCTGTCACCTGAATTCAGATTGACAGAACTAGGATAACCCTAGGCAAAAGTTGTTGTCTTTGATAACTTTACTTTTCAAAGTAACCATAAGGCCATGGACACATTACCAAATAAAGATGGCAGAAAAAAAAAAAAAGATGGCAGAATTTCCTATTTTGGAGCCTCTTATCGGAAGACACCCTGGAGAGTATAGGTGTAATTGTGCAAAGCCTGATTTATATTTGTATGTTAGCCTTATTCTCTTTATTATCAGACTATAAGCTCTTTATTTGGCAGGACCCATTGTAATAGTTGTGTTTCTTGTAGAAGATAAGTTGTGTTTCTTATCTTCTACAAGATTGGCAAATAGTAAGTATTTAGTAAAATTTGCATAAATTAAATATTTTATTTATCAATCAATCAATCAAACAGGAGTCATTGAGGAATGAACAAAATATTGAGACAGAGAGATGGAATCGAAGAATACTTCATATGTTAAATCATTTACGGGTGAGATGCTAGGGTTTGTCAACCCTATTTTTATTTTTAAAAATAAGTCAATATGGACTTCAATCTTCTAGATATCAATGAAAATGCAATGGTTTTCCTTATTTTTTTTTTTTTTGAGGCCAAATGCTACTAGAGTGCAATGATTTTCAGTAGTATACCAAGGGCTAAATATAGAAGTTTGGTTTTGGTACCTGCATATTCTAATCAACTTCTTATCTACCCTCATACCCTTAGATATCTATTCTGTGTCCCATCCTTGTTTTTAGCAGGATACCAACTACTTCTTAACATGAAATGTAGTTTATAGCAGTTCAAGAGTGACAATTCAGATAATTTTAGAATTTATGTTTTTATCAAAATAATATATGTATATTATTTTTAAAGTTCAATAGCACCATGCAATAAGGCTGAAAAAAAAAAGCTTTTGTCCTATCCCTCCTTATTCCTGTCCTGCTTACCAGAAGCAACTACACTAAGCTATTTCTTTTAGTATGTGTATCTATATTCCTAATTAACGTGCTTTTACTGCTCTTTCTTGATATTTCAGCTTTAAACTTTATCTACTGACTTCTTTTGACAGAAAAAGAAGGTTTAGCTTAGTTACCTTTCCCAGCCTAGTATACTTTTAGCATAGTGTTATGTGTTTACAGTGTTATATTTGTAATAGTTATGATGCAGGTTTGCTTGTGACAGGGAGCCAAAATATTAGTGGCCTAAAAAGCATAGAAGTTTATTTATCTCTCAGGTAAAAGTTCAAAGTGGTATGGCAGCTATGCTCACGGAGTTGTCAGGGACCCAGGTTTCCTTTATCTTCTCAAGATCCAGAACGGCTAACTAGCCACCATGTCTATACTCCAATCAGCTGCAAAATATCCTTCAAGAGTACAACCCAGAAATTGTGTCACTTTTTACACTTCATTGAGCAGCACTTAGTCACATTGCCATAGCTAGTTGGGAAATGTAGTCTTTATTTGGTAAACTTAGTCCCAGCTAATAATTCTATTACTATAGAAGAGGATAATGGAAATTAAAGGACAACTAGCAGCTGCTGCCATAAATACTATATAAAAATTAGTTTACATTGAAGCTTCATAGTATAATTATATTTCTTATCAACTTTATGGTTGTTTTGTCATTAGGTTTTTTTCAAGTTAATCATTACCTCATTTTTGTTCATTTGCTCAGTGTCTCTAAACCCATTTTAATTATTTTTCCAAACTCTGACAGTATGACCAAACTGTGACAAACTCTGGCAAAAATACCATTTTATGGTTTTATAATATTTTATAATATCTCTTATCAAATAATCCATCAGTTCCATTTTTTTCCTTAAAGGTATCTGGGAGCTCACCATCCTCTTGTTCTGATCCAAACCAGTTGCTCTTTAGGTCTGTTCCATAGTTTTTGTCTTGAGATATTGCTTTGTCATACATATGGGAATTTGTCTCTTCCTGTATGTATTATCACCTCTGTGTTTTTTGGTGCTTTGATCTTCCTTTATCTTACATTTTTTGATTGTTAACATCCTTTCATAATTTCCTGAGTTAAAGAGTCCATAAGAGATAGAGACCCCATACAACCCTGAGCATTTATTTCACCTTTAACATGATTGATTGTCTCTAGACATAAGTTGAAAATATATTTCTCTCAGATGTTGAAGGCTTTGTAACATTGCTAGGATTCTTGTGATGTTGTTGAAAGGTCAAATGTTGTCTTAGTTGGTGATCCTTTGTAGGTAACCTTTATTTTCTCCCTGGAAGCTTTTGATCTTTTATTATTAATTATTATTTTTATCCCTGGCACTCTGGAATTTCACGATGTTTTTCTTTTTTTCTTTCACTTACTGTGTTTATCATGTAGTGTGCTCTTCTATTCAGGAATTTCATGTTCCTGAGTTTTAGAAAAATTTTTAAAATTTCTTGGACTTTCTCATTATTATTATTGTTTTTTAAAGTTTTTCATGGAGTCAAGGTCCTGCTGTGTTGCTTAGGCTAATTTCAAACTCCTGGCCTCAATTTCCTTGTAATTTATCTGTTTTGTCTTCCTGAAGGGCTTATGAGTCAAATGTTGAATCACCTGAACTGCTTCTTTAATTTTTAACAAATATTTTATCCTCTATATTAATTTCCTTTGTATTTGTGTTTTTCTACTCTCTAGATTGCTTGAACTTTGTCTTCTATACTTCATTGAATTTTTATATCTGCTTTCACCTTTTTGTTTTCCAGGAGTTTTTTTCTTAGTTACTAACTATTCTTTTGTTTTATAGTATCCCAATATTTTTATTTAATTATTCAGTTAGGTTTTAAAAGCAGCTTTATTGAGACATGATTAACATGAAATAAACTATTTATATTTAAAGTATGCATTAGATAAGTCTTGACATATGTATACAACTTTGAAACCTTCACCACGATCAAGAGAGTGAACATATCTTAAACCAGAAAAACTTTCCTTGTGTCACTTGAGAATTCCTCATTTGCATACCTCCAACTGGTACCCCCATTCCCAAGCAACCCCTTATCTGCTTCCTCTCACTGTTTCACTATTTTCCTAGCCATTTTCATGAATACAATGAAAAATACTCTTAACTTCAGAGGTTGCACTTCTGCCCTCTGCATTAGCTTTCCTTAGTGATTTTCTTGAATGCATTTCTTTTTGCTCTTTAATATTAGAGATTTTACTCAAATGTCTTGTAGATCCTAGGATTATCTGTTTTTTATTTAAGAGTGAGACACCAAAAAACGGATTGGAAGTTATATATGCATGAGTAGGGCTTATAGACTTATAGTATTTACACTCAGGTAATTGGGTGGCACCCCTCACCTTCCCCAGATTGTATTACATAACTGGATTTTGTTCCCCCCTTAGAATAGTAATAGTAGGCTTTTCCAGAGTAATCTTTAAGTCTGCTGCCTAGGAGATAGAAGCAGGATGCCAGTGGCTCAGGAATCAAAAGGAGGTAAAGTAGAGGCCAGTTATCTCACTGTTCAGAGTGCAGAATTTCCCTTAATCTCACTATTCTTGGTATGACGCTTCACCATCCACAGGGCTACTGTCCTAAGTCCAGAGCCTTGGTTTTTGGTATCTCCGGAAGGGCAACTCCTTGCCTTCTACTATATGAGCAGTGTTCTCTGATTCTGTGAGGTGGTGGAGTGGACAGAAGGTCTAACTGTTCCTAAGTAGATTCAATTCTCAAGGAACTCCTGTTTTCAGCTTCATGCCCGCTTCCCAGTTTATGACACACAGATGTCTCCAACTCCTGAGCTTTTCTAAGATACTGTGTCTCAAATTGGCTTGCTTTTTGCTGCCTTCGCCGCTGCCAGCACTGAGGTTTCAGTTGTTTCTACTCTACTAAATCAGTTATGTCTTCACTTTCTTTGTCTTTATTTCCTTCCTTTGTCACTTTTTCTTCCTTTACCTTCATTTCAGAAAGGTTTCTGAAGGGAACAGAAATAAACACTTATGTTTACTCTTGCATATTTGTCCCTTTAGGGTTTTTCAAAATAATTCTTGAAATTGAAAAAGCTGTCCTTATTCTTTCTCCTGGGGGAAAAAGCCATCCAATTCGCATCTTTTTCTCTCAAGGTGGGGAATAAATGTAGGGTGGATATACCATCTTTGAAAGGTTACTGACCCTGGGCCATACCTTTGGTTAAGATAAAGTATGAGAAAGTATTTAATTTATTAATTTGTTATATGTTATGGACAACAAAACCTTGTATATGGTATTTCTAAACATGCTTCACAACTATCCAAGAAGTATGATTCTCATAGGGACACTGGCCATTCACTGCAGTATTTCCTTTTCTCTTTTTTTGGGGGGACAAGGTTTCACTCTGTCACCCAGGCTGGAGTGCAGTGGCGTGATCTCAGCTCACTGCAACCTCCGCCTCCTAGGTTCAAGTGATTCTCCTGCCTCAGCCTCCCGGATAGCTGGGATTACAGGCACACACCACCATGCCCAGCTAATTTTTGTATTTTTAGTTGAGACGGGGTCTTACCATGTTTGCCAGGCTAGTCTCGAGCTCCTGACCTCAAGTGATCTGCCCTACTCGGCTTCCCAAAGTGCCGGGATTACAGGCATGAACCACCGCACCTAGCCACACTGCAGTATTTCTAATTAAAAAACTACTATTCTAGGAATCTGATTGCAAATCCTAGTCTTCATGAAAAGAGTTATTGTCATCCATAATTAAAATGCTTGATTGTACCTCAGTTATTTCCAGTAGGTATACAGATGCCATATAGTGAATCCAACATCTTTTTAATTTGTGCAGAGAAATTGGGTGTTTTTTACATAGTTATAATCCCCTGCTGCTGAAACTAGAGTTGGTTATAATCAACACCAACACTAGTACATTTAAGTAAGAGAAGACCGATAGGTTTATTATTTTTATTGTATTTGAAGCCTCCCAGAGTCCCGTGGACTTTTTTTTTTTTTTTGTCTCTGCAAATTTAGCTTAATTGCCCTTTCCACAGTAGCCATTTGTGTTAACATCAATTTTTAAAAAGACCTAACATTTGTATAACACCTTATACATTTTTATAACACTTTGGAATTCTTTTGCATGTATGTTCTTTATGAACTTAGCTCGTGTACAGTGACTTGTGTTGTTTTTATGTTTACTAAGGAGTCATTTCCCTTTTCCATTTAAGGATTTTATAGTCAAAATGTCAATCAAAATATCTTATCAAAAATGTCAATATTTTGTTGTTCATTATGCATTTGTAGCCAGCTTTACTTCTAATGATCTTATTTCCCTTTTCTTTTCTAATCATTTTCCCAGGAATCTAACAAGATGGGAATGCAGTCCTTTAGTCTGATGAAGCTCTGTAGAAATAGTGACCGAAAACAAGCAGCTGCCAAATTTTATAGCTTTCTTGTCCTAAAAAAACAGCAGGCTATCGAGCTGAGCCAGAGTGCTCCCTATGCAGATATTATAGCTACGATGGGACCAATGTTTTATAAAATGTGAAGGAAATCCAGACATACAGATTTATGTCATCACTGGAGTTTCTGTGTAGATAGTTGAATTTAATGCGGAAGCCATCTGGAAGCAGCTGAAGGTCTGATCCATTTCATAGATAGGCTGACCTATTTCCTCTCTGTAGTTCAGAATAATCATATCTAGAATTGGAAACCTACATACTTACAAAGAAATATTTTAAATTCTTTTTTTTTTTTTTTTTTTAAGGACAGAGGTCTCAGTATTTTCCCCAGGCTGGACTTGAACTCTGGGCTCAAGTGATTCTCCTGCCTCAGTCTCCTGAATAGCTGGGACTACAGGCACATGCCACCATACCTGGCTCAGAAATACTTAATTATAGCTAAGTAATTTTTTTAAACTTAGCTGATTTGAATATATCGCATTTATCATTTCCCTGATTTGAATATTGCATTTAGGATACATTTAGGATGCATTTTTAAAATGCTATATGCTTTTGACAAACATTCAAAGATGTATCTTAAAAGACTATTTTAAATTGGTGTATTTACTTGAATTTTGTGGGGTTAATGATGAAAACGTTCTTATTTCTACACAGATAATTTCTTTGATTGTAATGCATATCATCCTTGATTTGGCTTAATGCCATAGGTTTTAATCTACTATCTTAATTGAAGAGTTACATAGCTCATCTTTGCTTTAAATTACTTGAATGGCTTTTAGTCTATTTATAGGTCATTTAACCTTTTTATTTACTATTTAATGATTATTATAATCACCATTAATGTGTCGGCAAAACTAAATCTGCTTCTATTTTTTAAAAAATTAGCAGATACTTGTTCAGCATGTTGTTTGCAGCTACAGTCTTGAGTAAAGATCACCAAAATAAATGTTATTTTACTTGGTGTTCATTGAACATTTTTGACATTAAAACTGTTGTTTTTCTTTTTTCTTAATTGAAGTTTGAGTTAGGAAATTTTCATATTATGTTCTGTGAGCTCCATAATACACCGTGAAATAAAGCCTATGGTAATCTTTAAAATGCTGTTGTATCTGGAATTATGCTGCAAACAACAAATTCTAAATAGCCTCTCTAAATGTATTTAACCATACATTTTAAATGTCAAAATTGTCTTTTAAAAATTTCTTTTATTTTTTAAATTAACATATAGAAAAATTGACTTATTAATTTTGGTGCACAGTTCTATGAATTTTAACATATGTTTAGACTCCTGTAACTATCTCCACAATCAGAATTCCAGCAGTAACGTCACCCTGAAAAAATTCCCTGTGTTATCCCTTTGTGTTAACACCCTTCCCCTATATAACATCTGGCAACCACTCTTCTCCATGACTACACTTTTGTCTTTTTGAAAATGTCATACAAATGGAATCATATAGTATGTACCTTTTGATACTGGCCTTTTTCACTCATAAATGTCTTTGAGATTCATCCAAGTGGTTGCATGTGTCAGTGGTTTGTTCCTTTTTATTGCTGAGTAATATTCTGTTGCCTAGATATAGCACAGGTTATTTATCCATTTACCCACTGAAAGATGTTTAAGTTGTTTCCAGTTTTGACAATAATAGAGCTGCATACATTTATGTACATTTTTGTGTGGATATAAGTTTTTATTTGTCTATGGTAAATATCTAGGAATGGGATTGCTGGGTCATGTGGCAAGTATATGTTTAACTTTATAAGAAATTATGAAATTATTTTCCAGAGTGGATGTACTATTTTACATTCCCTCTATGTAAGAGAGTTCCAGTTGATTTTTTTGTTTACTTGTTATTTTGAGATAATTGTAGATCCACATGCAGTTGTGAGAAATAATACAAATATCCCATATACCAGTTTACCTCAATGGTAACATCTTGCATAACTTTAGTATAATACACAACTAGGAAATTGGCATTGACACAATCCACCAGCTTATTCAGATATCACCAGTTTTACACGCACTCATTTTGTGTATGTATTAATTCTATGTAAATTTATCACATGTGTAGGTTTGTGTGGCCACCACCATAGTCAAGAAACAGTGCAGTTCCATCACAAGCGTCACTTGTGCTACCCTTTGTTAGCTACAGCCATCTCCCTCCTTACTGTCCTCCCTAGCTCCTGAAAACCACTAAACTGTTCTCTGTCTCTATAATTTTGTTATTAACTTTTTTGTATTAACTTTGTATCCCATGACCTTGCTAAATTCACAAATTAGTTCCAAGTATTTTGTTTTACATAAATGGAATTAAATCATGTTTTGCCTTTTTTTTTTTTTTTTTTTTTTTTTTTTTTAGACAGAGTCTCACTCTATCACCCAGGTTGGAATGCAGTGGCACAGTCTTGGCTCACTGCAGCCTTGACCTCCCAGGTTCAAGCAATTTTCCCGCCTCAGCCTCCAGAGTAACTGGGATTACAGGCTCGTGCCAACATGACTAGCTAATATTTTTGTATTTTTAGTAGAGATGGGGTTTCACCATGTTGGTCATACTAGACTCAAACTCCTGACCTCAAATGATCTCCCTGCCTCAGCCTCCCAAAGTACTGGGATTACAGGTGTGAGCCACCACTTCTGGCAATGTTTTGCCTTTTGTGTCTGATTCCTTTCACCTAGTATAAAGGTTTCAGGTTTCATCCATGTTGTAGAATGTATCTGTACTTTATTCCTTTTTATGGCCAAATAATATTCCATTGTATGGATATACCACATTTTGTTTATCCACTCATTGGTTGATGGACATGTGGATTCTTTCTACTTTTTAACTCCTATGAATAATGCTGCTATCAACATTAGAACATAAGTTTTGTGTATATATGTTTTTATTTTTCTTGGTTATATACCTAGGAGTGGAATTGCCAGGTCACATGATAAGTTTATGTTTAACTTTTCAAGGAGCTGTCAAACTGTTTTCCAAAGTAGCTGCACTATTGTACATTCCTACCAGCAATGTTTCAGAGTTCCAATTTCTTAATATCCTTGACAATACTTGTTATTGTCCCTTTTTAAAATTATAGCCATCCTAGTGAGTGTGAAGTGGTAACTCATGGTTTTGATTTGCGTTTTTCCTAATAACTAATGATGTTGAATATCCTTTCATTTGGATTTGCTAATAGTTTATTTAGGGTTTTTTTGCATCTGATATTGGTCTGTATTTTTCTTTTACTGTCTTTTTCTGGTTTTGATGTCAGGGTGATACTGGCCTCATAAAGTAACTTAGAAAGTGTTTCCTTCTACTTTTCTAGGATAGGTTGTGTATATTTGTGTTATTTCTTCCTTAAATAATTGATAGAATTCACCCATAAACAATATGGATCTGGAGATTTATATTTTGTAAGGTTTTTAAACTATGAATTCAATTTTTTAAATAGTTGTAGGACTATTTAGTTATGTATTTCATTTTAAGTGAGTTTGGGTAGTTCTTTAAGTAATTGGTCTATTTCATCTACATTGGTAAGTTTATGTGTGTACAGTTGTTCAGAGGTATTCCCTTATTATCCTTTTAGTGTTTGTGGGGTCCATAGTAATAACCCTTTTTTTTTTTTTTTTTTTTTTTTTTTTTTTGAGACAAACTCTCGCTCTGTCTCCAGGCTGGAGTGCAGTGGCTGTGACCTCAGCTTACTGCAACCTCCGCCTACTAGGTTCAAGCAATTCTCCTGCCTCAGCCTCCTGAGTAGTTGGGACTACAGGCGTACCCTACCATGCCCAGCTAATTTTTGTATTTTTAGTAGAGATGGAGTTTCACCATGTTGGCCAGGATGGTCTCGCTCTCTTGACCTCGTGATCTGCCTGCCTTGGCCTCCCAAAGTCCTGGGATTACAGGCATGAGCCACCACACCCAGCCATAACCCCTCTTTCATTTCAGACATTGTTAATACATTTTCTCTTTTCTTTTCAGTTATGCCAGAGGCTTATTAATTTTCTAGATCTTTTAAAAGAATCACATTTGGGTTTCATTGATTTTCTCTTTTGTTTTTCTGCTTTCTGTTTCACTTCATTTATCTCTGCTTTTACATTTTTTATTATTTTCCTTTGGTTTGCTTTGAGCTTATTTGCTGTATATTTCTAGTTTTATTAAGGTGGGGGCTTAGATAATTTATTTGAGATCTTCCCTCTTTTCTAATATAAACACATAAAGCTATATATTTCCCTCTAGGCATTGCTTTAGCTGAATCACATAGATACTTATATGTTGTATCTTCACTTTTGTTCAGTTAAAAATATTTTCTAATTTCCCTTGAGATTTCCTCTTTGACCTGCAAATTATTTAGAAGCATAGAACGGTCAGTTTCTAAAGGATATTTCCAGTAATTGATTTCAAGTTTAATTCCATTATGGTGAGGAAACATACTTTAAATGATTTTAATTCTTTTTTCATTATACTTTAAGTTCTGGAGGTACATGTGCAGAACATGCAGGTTTGTTACATAGGTATACATGTGCCATGGTGGTTTGCTGCACCCATCAACCCATCATCTACATTAGGTGAATTCTTTTAAATTCATTAAGATTTATTTTATGACCCTTTACTAAGTTGAAAATTTGTGAATACATTTTGACTCCCCCAAAATTTAGCTACTATTGTTGACCAGAAGTCTTACCTATAATGCAGTCAGCACATATGCTGTATGTTATATGTATTATATACTATATTCTTACAATAAAGTAAGCTAGAGAAAAGAAAATATTATTAAGAAAATCGCAAGGAAGAAAATATATTTTGTATTCATTAAGTGGAAGTGGATCAACATAAAGGTCTTCACCTTCATGGTCTTCACATTGAGTAGGCTGAGGAGGAGGAGACAGAGGAGGGGTCAGTGTTGTCTCAGAGATGGCAGAGTCAGAAGAAAATCCACATAAAAGTGGACACACACAGTTCAAAGCTGTGTTGTTCAAGGATCAATTCTGTTCTGCATTTGTTAGGTGGAGTGTTCTATAAATGTCAATTGGACCTAGTTAGTTCATAGTATTGTTTAGTTTTTCTACATCCTTGTTTATTTTGTCTATTAGTTCTACTGATTACTGAGAAAAGTGTTTGTGTCTCTAGCTATAATTATGGATCTGTTTATTTCTCCTTTTCGTTCTATCAGTTTTTGCTTTATATATTTTGAAGCTCTTTTATTAGGTGCATATAAATTTATAATTATTATATCTTCTTGGTAAAGTGATGCTTTTATTATTGTGTAATAATTCTCTTTACTCCTGGTAATTTTTTTTTGCTCTGTAGTCTAATTTTTCTA